TTGAAATGTGGCAACATAAATAGATAAAGTGTAGTAAAATAAAACAACAACAAAAACAAGCAAAAAAAAATAATAATTTAAATGTGTATTTTGGATGTTTTCTTTCCACTGGAAAGAAACCTTGTCATTTTATCATGTCAGTTTGAATATGTGCACACACTAATTGTCTTCTTAGGTCTGAGTTGTAGGCCTGTGCAGAACTCTGGCTTGTACACAGGTTGAATCTAAGGAGCCACAGTCATGATAAAGTCAGTCAGATTTAGGATTTTAGTCAGATTAAGATTCTTGGAGAGTTGCAGGAAGCATTCCTTGTCTCACTGGATATTTCTTCCAAATGCTTGTTTCCTAAATCTAAAGCTCAGAGTTCAAGAGTCAGATATCCCTATGAGCTGTGTCACAATGGAAACATGTTGACAGATGTACAGTGAGCTCATGACAATCGTGGTCAGTGAGCATGTCAGTGTGTTAAAGGTGGTTCACGGCTGCACTGCTTTGCATTGTTTGAGAAAGCAGGTTTATTGTTTCTAAGTTGAACAGCGACTTTGAAACACAGACCCCAATTTAACAACTCAGTCCAACAAAAGTAAATATCTGCATGATCACAGACACACAAAACTGTGATCAGTAAAACAAAACTACATACACGTGCATAACCAGCATGAACGCAGTTAGAAAACGACCTGTGGACACCAGAACATTGTCAGTTTTGGACGTATGGTTCATTCACACAGGGACGAATGACCAAAAAGTCTAATGGTGAGACTTCACAAAGATGGAAAAGGATACAGGAAGATCAGTGAACAACTTAAAATCAGTAGAAACCAATTGCAGCAGTAACCAAGAGATATAGAATGAGTCATAGTAGCTGTAATCAGAGCTGCAGTGACCATCCTCCAAATAAACGATGCCGCAGACAGTCCACTGCCTGCACAGTCTAAAAACCAGACTGGCAAGTGCTTCACATTTGGCACAAGCATTGCATTCCTTCTGTAGGGCCTGTTTTTTTAAAATATACAGATCTATAATGTTAGTTTTTTAGTTGACATATGAGCAACTACCCTGCTGTTCAACTTTGAAGTGATGCCATTACTGAAAGGTGTTACATTTTCAATCGTTTGACATTTAATCAAACTGTTGTATGCTCACTAGGTTTCATATTGTATCTTCCCTCATTGCGTATCATCTTCACAATTACTGGAGTTACTCATCACAAGTGGAGCTCTTTGTCTTTTCGAGCTCATACTTTCCTGTGTGAACATGGTTTTAGCTGCTCACTTCATAGCCATCACTCCCACATGCAGCGAGAACGGAGGGGCCGTGCTCCTCCTCCTCCTCCTCCCCTCACTCGTTCCTCTTCTGTCTTTATTTGCTCTGCCGTTTTCTGCCAGTTGTCTTTTGTGCTTTCATTTTTTATTTCTTGAACCTCTCACGCCGGGCCAGAGACGCCTCTTCAATCCACTCGCCTCTTCAATAATAAATGGGTGCTTCCATTATGAGCTGCCTGCAGCGTTGAGTCGTAGTCAGTCATGTTCCGGGGAGAAAGGGGCGGTCTGGGATTTCTGCACAGAAGTCGAAGCGGCATGCTTGTTTATGTGGTTATTATGTATCGTTGAACACTCTTGGGTCAGTCCAATGTGCCTAGCAAAAATGTAGTTAGGGATTTTTTTTCACAGTTTGGAGTCGTTTTTGGAAGAAAACCATGAGAACATTAGTGAGACTGGTAAATTTAGACATAAGAGAAGCCAGGTATCTGTTAACTGAAAGGCTAAATATGACCAAAGCTTATTGTGGCACTAAAACTCCCTGACATCAATAGGCATTAAAAGGTGCAGGGGTTATAATAAGCTGTAGTGAGTGTCTCCTCAGTGAAAGTACAGAGCTGGCCATCGACTGAGGTTTTCAACCACATAGACCATTCTGAAAAAAAGCATGCTGCTGTGTCAATCTTCATGCGAACACTTTCTATTTATGGACAGCTGGGCCTGTTGCACAGACGCAGAATGTTAAACCACAAGGCATGAACACAATGTTAGTACAGTAGTGTGGTTACAGTTAGGAGCATGTTTGCTGGTCAGGTCGTTTAAGGACCCTGTGATAGAGCTCACGCAAAGCTCTGTGGGAAGATGTCTGCGTATTTGAGTCACCTGTTGCCCCGACTGCCTACCACAGGGTTTCGAAAAGGTTTCCAGTCTGGTTGTTGGTCTCAAAAAGTTAAATGACTAAACAGGCAAGGAAACTAAAAGTTTTAGTCACTTTCTGACCCTAAACTAATGCAAAATAGCTCATCAAATGGTCCCATTTGGTCCCTGATGAGGCACTAGAGAAATATGTCCATACATGACCAGGTTCATTTGCCAACGTGATCTGTTAATTGTGTCTTCTTATAAATACATATACCAGTGCTGCATGATTTCTGGAGACTTTTTGCTTATTTATCAGTATTTATGGTGGGGGTCACTTACTCTTTGTGCTCTAACAACCAAAGTTCCCCTAGGGGATTAATAAAGTATTTCTATTCTATTCTATTCTATTCTATTCTATTAATACTGACTGTAAAACATTTGTCTAATGAAGATCTAGGTAAGAAAAACCATGAATAAATGTATTTTTACAAGTTTGACAATGCGTAGGAAACAGTCAAACGTATACGGAACCAAAAACTTTACATGACATAGGAGTGAGGGAGTAAAGAAGTCTGAGAAACTACATAAAGAACAAATTTAAAGAAAGCCAGTTAGTTGGATTCATGGCCTGCTGACTGATGGACGCTGATGTCCAGAGGATGGATGTGAAAATGCTCCCTTTACAGTATTTCTTAGCTAATGATTATAGACCAATCAACTTACAGTTCCTGCGTTCACTGTAATCAAATGAAGACAAATGAATAGAATATAAACATATGCCAGGGCATGTAGAGGTGTGACTGTTTAATAAAGATTAATTACAATGAAAAGGATGCGATGGAGCCGAGGCCTGTAGATCCAGTCATTATCCCGTCAAAACAGCTGTGCTCAGAGCAGCCTTTTCTCATAATATTCATAACATAGAGGGTTTATTCCTACTATGACCTGAATCTAAATTATTATTTCTCACAATGTAGCCTCAGTGTCAGAACCTTCTCATTAGTACTGCTTTTTATTGTTAATAATACTTTCTTTTTTTAAAACAAAAATATCAGTTTTTCTTGTAAGATTACAATCAACTTACTTCTGTATCTCATTACTATGTTACAGTTATACCGCTTTTATAATAGTTTCCTTCTCATAATACTGACATTAATCTCAAAGGTCTCAGAGGTATGAATCCTCAGGTTGTGGGGGAAGATGATCCTTTTCAAGATTTTACATTGATTTAAAAACAATGTATCTCAGTAAAACATAACAGACGTTGTGTTTAACCCTAGAACACCAACGCCGGGTGATTTTCACCTGCACGATTTTTGTCATGTGATTTTCATTGTGTTGCTGCTGTCTGAGTTGAATGGGTCCTTGGGTAGCTTCAGGCTGCTTATTGATGACATTAATGGTATGTTTGTTTCCCACCTCCCATCTATGGTTTTTTCAAGAGGCATGCGTTCGGGTGATTTTCACCCGGCGTTAGTGTTAGAGGGCAACATATGTTATGGGTGGAATTTACCCAATGTTAGTGTTTGTGTGTTGAAATCAGGCGCTCTTTGCACTTTTCAAGGGTAAGGGTATATTTCAAGGGTATATTTTACCCGATATAATATTCCAGATAAAATATAGTTTTCATCAATTTATGTAAAAGTACAACACTGTATGACAAACTGTAGGACTGGGACATGTGAGCCGTGTCTGGTGAAGGCTCAGTTTGGTTCTGGTATGTCGTCTGTCTAAGGAAATTCATATAGTCAAAAAAATTGGGTAATTTTTCCACTCTCAAAAAATGCCATTATTTGTCAATCTCTGCCACAGTTGTCAGTGATGCAGGAAGACTGTGCCTTCACCAGACAAGGCTCACATGTCCCAGGAATGGCTGGACCAAAGAACAAGTTCCCAGCCCCATTATTTTTTTTGTTTGGAAATTTCTCGTTAAGGATTACCTGATTTTTAAATAATTTTGCTGCATTTTTATAGGGTCCCCCGAGGTACCTTTTATTTATTTTATGTGATATTGTATATTGAGAAATTAAAGAAGAGTACTACAATTTGTCATACAGTGTTGCACTTTTACATAAATTAATGAAAACTGTGTTGTATTCAGATTACTATTTCGGGTAAAATATACCCAGCGTTAGTGATAGTGTTACTAATTTTAGAATTTTAGTGTTCTAGGGTTAAGGAGCCACCCCAGTTTACCCTACATGTCTCACTGACTGTTATTCTGGCAGAACTTGGATACTTCCTGCTGAGGTCAGTGTGTAGAAAACAGGCAGCAGTCTAGCAAATGGCAGAGGTTTTGTCTGTCCATCGTTTTCCATCCTCACTCCCCTGAAATGTTAATGGCTTGACCCCCCCCCCCCCCCCCCCCACAACGTGACACCTGTAAACACTTGCATGACAATGGTGTTGTCCCACACTGAGCCGGGCCGGGCTGTCATTCTTTATTAATACGGATGGCAGTTTATAATTCATAGGGTTGGATTAGTTAGGAGTGCTGGTCCCAGGTCTGCTTCCAGCACTGACACAGCGAGTACTAACAATACTGGACATGCCTCGCTCTCCGCTGCCCATCCCAGTGCCCATTATAATAATATATTCAAGGATTAAAGGGGTTTTATCTTAGAGAGCCATGAATTATAAATGCAGCATTTCAAATTTTAATTGCCCCGAATTAAATGATTCAAGATAATGTTTCTTTTATAAATTCCTCATAGGGCCAGGGGGCAAGGAAAGGAAAAATACACTCAATAAACCTTTTTCCTCCTCAACAGGAACAATGGAGAGGAACAATAGATGCACGGTGACCTCGTGTCTCTGGAGGAGGAGATAGCTCCTGCCAAAGATAGTGAGTTTAAGAACAACACTTCACACACGAGCTGAGAAATGGATGAAGTTTAATCTCTGGTTTGTGGATGCTGACAGCATCAGGACAAGTTTCCTTTCTGCTGCATAGAGTGAGATGGTGCGCAGTCTTGTTCAGCTGGAGAAAAACGTTTCCATCCAGGACTTGTTGAGTCTGGTTAAAGCTATGAGCTCTCTCGCCTTACACACACACACACACACACACACACACCTACACACACACACACACACATGCACACACACACACACACATACACACCTGCGATACAGAGGTCGTTAGAAAAGCAGCAAACAGATCGAATGTTACCAATAAGGTTGGTAAAGGTAAACAATTGCATAAAAATACAGATTTGTGATGGAAAAGTGCTCGAGCCACAGAAGACAAGTGACACATCAAACAGGATTCAGAACAAGAACATGGTGTGGTACAAAGTGCTCAGCAGCGTCTGACCTCGGGTGGACACGTCCGACTTTGGGTCGTATTAACGCGCACCACTGAAAGAGGAATGTGATGGCAGTATTAATTCACCACCTTCCCATCGCACCACCAGCAAGTCTCCAGTAACAAACAACATAGAAATCTATAGAACTCTGCGGGTTAACAAGGAGTGACCCCAACTCACATTTGAAATGGTGTATTTGTAAATGGCCGAGCCAAAAACAAGGCTCACTGACAGTCACAGCACATATTTATTTCTGTTGGTTAGGTATGCCCAAAGGAAAGCGTTCTTATTAATTAGACATCTTAGCTAACGAGGTCTGCCTGAACACAAATAGCCAAGTATAAGAGACCTGGACAGTTGAAAGATGGTAGTTTAAGTTGTCAAGCGACCCTAGAACTAGTTAGAACTGCAACATGTCAAGCTAACTTTAGTGGAATAGTTCAACATTTTGGAAAATATGCTCAGTTACTTTTCTATTGTGAATTAGATGTAAGAATCAATGTGAGTGTCATGTTGAGAGCAGAAGTGATTACCCACTCCAAACCCAGGCTAGTTCCAGCACACAACTGTCCCAAAAAAAACAAACTGCTGCTGAGCTGATTAGTTGATTCACTGAATGTTTAATAGAAAATTATTCTAAAATTGTATGTACATGTTTAATTGATCATAAATTGGCCACAAAACTGATCGCCATAGGAGGACAACAAATCTGAATGATAACATCTAAATAGAGGTTTCAAAATTACATTTCTTTTGTCCATTTTAGACAACAATGACACCCTACCGCTTAGCCGTTGCATCACCAATCAGTCTGACTAATTGTAATTTTGAGATATTCATTAATGACTTCAAATCTTCTCACAATAAAAGATACACTGTATGCAAATGGGTTCTGCTAAATCTACCAGGTTTACTCGTTCCCTTTCAGTCAATAAAGCACATACAATGACTATTTCAGCTGATAAACGGAACAGATTGTTTACAGTGAGAAGCTGTCTATCATATTTGCAAACAAGCTTCGTTCACAGGTTTATATTTGCCAGATGTGAAAATGCAAATAGGCTGCAGCAACGTCAATTGTAAAGAATGGATTTTTGAAAGCAAGAGAACAATCTAGCACAACATATGCAAACAGAGTCAGTGCAATTACAGCTCATGTCTGATTAGAGGATACAACTATATCTCTGTATTTATCTATTTAAAAGGTTCAGAACTGGAACCACTTTTACAAAAATTTCAATTGGTGAGCATCGGTGACACGCACACCTCATTCCCTTAACTTTATTTTAAACTGGATTATTGAAATCTACATTAAAAGCAAGATAACTGGTGCACAAGCGATCAGTACACAAGGACAACAGGCTTCTCCCGGCTGGATTTACTGGATATAAACCATAGACTGTATACAAAAGATGGACACAGCAAATGTGGCATCACCAACTGGTTTTTAAACAACTGTAATGAAGCCTGAAAGTTGGTTGTTGCCAATATAAGGACACTACTCATGGTGATATGGTAGCATCCTGTATCACTAAAACGTACCAAGCTTTATTGTCCATCTTCCTCTAAACAGAACCATAATTTACAATATGACCACCATTCTGTATCAAACAAGTCTTGAAACCAGCGATTTGAATCGTAAGCTCATTAGGAAAATGTTTACTGAGATAACAGATCATGCAGGAACGCATGCCTCACCTTTTAGATCCAACAGCTATGTCCAACTGTACGACACTGTCTATGATCAAAAATGTTTTCATGTCAACTCAGTGAAGAAGCAGAAGGGTTTTAATGTATGGATTCCTTATTCTTATCGATTTCCTCAACTCACTACATAAGATGGGGCAAAGTGAAACCAGAATCAGCAGGAGATGTGTGATTTTAATAGAACAAAACAGAAAATAAACAGATGCAAAGCATATAAAAAACATGGTGAATCCCTGCCTCAGTATGGACTGATGAGTTTTAGCTATTATTTCTTACAGTGGTAACATTTTGTCACTGGCAGGGAAGGTCTGATGAACCATAAGGGGAAAGAGTTTGTTGAGCCTGATCCAAACATACAGTCATAACTTAAAGTTAACATACTCTTGATGGCAGTTTGACTTTCCAGTGACTCCCTAATTTTCTATGATGGATTTAGTGAAACCTGTGCGTCTTTGTCACAACTGAACAATCTTGCATTTTATTCTGGAAATATGATCAAATCTGATGGGTCAAAAATATCCATACAGCAGCTTGAATTATCAGTTTTGTTGGTGTAGAAAATTGTGTTCATCAAATCGTCTCAGTGCTATGGCCTCTTAACTCCTCTTGAGTGATTATGATTGACCACAGGTGCTGACTCATCTCAGTCAATCTGATGCACTACAATGAGTAAGTCGTCATAGAAAATTAAGAGTTGCAGGAGTCATTGGAAACTCAAGACTGTCGTGATGTACATGATCTACTGCGCATTCTATCGTAACCGACTTTACATGTTGTGTGCAGAAACATATTTAATGTGACGGGGATAAACAGAGCTACATTGGACTAGAGTCAAACCGAAGCCTGATTTCCAGAACAGTACTGACAGATTTTTCTTACCCGCTGGCTGATGTTTGTATTTTTACATAAACATTTTTGATATCCTTTAAATTTGAATTGTAACTATGAGATGCATTGAGGAGGACATGTTATGAATAAAAGACCTGTCAGAGCTCTGTGGTGTTCAGCCTATGTAACTGAGATGTTTCCAGAAGACTTCTAATATCTTTGGTACTGCTATTTCATGTTACATATCATCCACCATGCCAACACCAGCTTATTCAGACTTATCTAAACTGAACTTATTTAAACCTGTTTTGAAGTCTCAGCACAAAGTTATGTAAAATGCTATTATTTCTAAGTTCAAGAACTCGCTGGCAATCACCACCATAACGTGCACTCTGTGTCACATCCTGATGTCTACTCTGCAGTTTCTATGATCTGGTAGAATGTTGGAACTAATAACATATGTGGCCAAAATTCCACCTTATTTCCTCCAGGATGCAGTGGCTGTCAGGTTTCAGTCAGTATCAGAGAGTTATCAGGGTCACCCCTCCAGTTAACACTAACCAGAGAGTATTAAACCAAGGGTAGCGCCGTCTTGTTTATCATACAAAGTGTCATGATGCAACTGCCTCGTTTTAAGGCAGTCGAACAGAAAGCTTCCAACAAGAAAACTCCCGTAACACACACGTTTCTGTCTCTCACTGAGTCCTCAGTGGTGTATATGGCTTTGTCGGGGGCAACAACAGTGATCACTCCCGTTAGTGACTTCCATGGATAATCACTGCAGTTTAAACTACACAGTACATTCATAAAGATAGCTAAAACACAACTGTTTTTCATTGAGAAAGAAAAACCATCTTAGATTTAAGCCTGTCATATTAAGTGATAATAGCTGACATCGATTGAAAACAGGTATCAGTCTCATAGACGAAAAGGAATTCGTGTCCTTCAGTACTTGTTTTAACCTTAAAATGGTTTATTAGAGGGCAGTGATGGTCTTTACTCAGCAGCACACTCCCACAACGCACCAGAGAATACGATTGTCAACTCAAAACATACCGGACACATATGGAGACAAACTGCAGTAATAAACCAACTAATTCACAAAATCAGTGAGATTTTGGCTTTGTGGAAACCTAACCTAACCCACTTCAGATGTCTTTCTTTTCTTCATCTAACTATATGCTGGAACCCTTTCTGTGGTGTCCCTCTTTCTTTCCTCCCATGCTGTAGGCCTCAAACAGTTTCAATGTAAACCTACATGTCAAACTTAACAAAAAGCTAATTTTAACCAAAACCTCTTCTGCACAGAAGGCCAAGAGACAGTTCAGCAGCGGACAACTAAAAAAAAGCCACGCTGGATGAACATACAAGTCGAAAAAAGTTCTGACTTTCAATTAAATTTTTTTTCAGCTTCTATATTTCTGAGTCCATTAAGAGACACAAAAATAAATAAATAGCATGGGCTGTGGCAGTAAGTGGAATATATTTATTCACTGTTCTCTTTGGGATTATCTTCAGTTCGACTGGCACTTAGGTTACCCACTTCCCTTTGGCCCTGCTGGTTTGAAATTCCAATCGAGGCCAAAGCTGAATCAACATCTTTGCTGACCTTCTCAGTCTCCTCCTGCACTTTCTCTCCATTAGCCTCCATACTCGTCCCATACATCGCCTTCTCCCCATTGAGGAGGTGACTGTGCTCCTCCATCTGGATCTCCTGGCCTTCCTCCACCTCCTCCAGCTTGCGCAAGATAATGGGAAGCTTTGCATCCGAATCAGTATTTTCAAGCAAAGCAATATCGCTTTCTTCATAACGCGGCAACAAAGCACCTTCCTCCTGCTTCTTCTGGAAGTGCAGACGTTTGGCCCGACCACTGGCTGATGCTTTCTCCAGGATCTGCTTCTCTGCCAGGCGGAGCTGAATAGCCAAACGGGAGTGAAGAGATAAATCAGGTTTTTCCAGCATGGAGTGGTCCTCCTGGAAGAGAGCGGGCAAGAGGTAAGAAAAAAGGGGAAAAAAATAACAAAAAATTTTGAGAAGAAGGAAAAACTCATTAATAAATTTAACTTCACACATTGTCAAATCTTCACTGTGTCCCAAAATACTTCTTCTGAGTTGGGGTTTGCAAAGTTTGCAGGAAAAACAATCCATCAGTCATGCCTGCCATGGTGGCTATTCTCAACAGCTATGAACACTTATGCGTTTACTTCCTTTGTTTGTGTACTGCACCCTTAAATTCTAGAGTCAGACACCACAGATGACAACTTTCAACATAACATAAATGCCAGCTGACTGACCTCTGAGCTTGTCTTGTAGGTCTTGAGCAGCAGAGCAGCTCGAGTCTCAAGGAAAGTCCACAACTTGATCTCATTCTCCCAGCTGACAGGAAACTCGCTGTTGCCCAGGGTGAAGATCTTATTGATGACACGATCTCCGAGAAGGTAGTCCTTTAATTCCTCTGAAATCAAGCTAAGTGTTAATATTTCTAAGACCATTAGGGAAACGTAATTAAAATAGAAGTTGACTCTAAAGAGCAATAGGTGTGTAAAACATGTGAACCTACAGGAAGGCAGCTAGTTTTAATTTCCAATTAACGACACCGGGAGGATACTGCTAGTTTGGGACATGGATGACCAAAACAAGTTGCAACAAGCAGATGTGATACTGGATATGGATGTGGTAAAAGCTCTGCCTAATCCCTTTTAATATGTGATCAGTGTTTCTCAATCCAATTCTTAACAAAGATCTGATAAGTCAGCTCATTTGGCTTCCAACACTGTCGCTTGAACCTAATTTTGGTAAAGAACACTGTTTATATTTCTGTCATCATGGATGAAGAAGTTGCGGACCGTCTTTGGTTCCTTCATCCTGTTGCCTTTGATCTGAGGACTTGAACATGGCTTGGTTATGTTGGAAGATGAAAGGGGAGAACTGCAGCGCCCCAGTTGTGTGTGCACACTATTCCATCATGTCACATCTGTTAAGAAATGTTGACACACATACACACATGCGTGCAAGAGATGATACCCACACACACATATCCAAAGGCAGTGGAGCTGTTTTAAAAATTAACATGCAGCAAAAATGTGAATAATATATCAAGCGGGCTCCTGAAGATGAGTCCTGTGACAGAGGAGGATGTGGCCTTGTGCGGCTGGGGATTTATGACACCGGTGCCTATCTGCATACATGCCGATGAATATTGCAAACCCCACAGTGGATTGCTCCTTCCACACATCTGGTGGCCTGCCTTGATCAATTAACTAGCTTGGGAATGGACAGGCATTGCTCTTTCCTTGCCTTGCTACTCTACCTTTCACATCCTCTCCGTCGCTTGCGGAGGAAGCAGTCGCTTGACGACGGTCTCCGAGGAGTGTGCTTTGCTTTAGAGCGATACCAGGTTTGTAGCTCGGAGATTCTAGGGGAACGTCCTGCTTGTATTTCACAGTTTGCGCGTGTATGTTGGTGTGTCTGTCTGTGTCTTACCCTCTGTCATGCAGAAGACTCTTAGGAAGGCGAGGAGTTGGGCTGATATCGGGGGTTCACTACAGTGCAGAGCAAAGATACAGGACCTAAAAATACAACAGCGTACGGGCCAACATGTTAACAATAGGTCAAAAAACAGATCAGATTAAATAAGTCTGTAACTAACACAGTGACATTTTGCCACAAAACTGCATATACACCTCAAAAGGATAGTTTAACATCTTGTGAAATACACTCACACACTGTTTTTCTGAGAGTAAAATAAAAAAGGTGGACACATCAACTTCATGTTAGTGTGTTCATGACACGACAGGGGAATGCATGTTTAGCTGAGCTTAGTATAAATACAAGATTGGTGATTCTTATCCTCAACAATTCCGTTTTGATCACAATAACAAACGTCAATTCTGTAATAAAGCATCAAAAAAAGATGGAATTTGACAACCAGGTGCAGCTTGTGAATGGTGTGCACACTGTGTTAGTGTGAATCACTTAGGTTCAGAGTTCAAATGCAATGTTTGGACACATTTTGCATTCTAAGTCCTAAAAATCAGCTTTGCAAGGTGAATACAGCACACATAGATTAGTGGAGCATCAAACTCAACAAATAACCTGCTGATAAACACATATTGTTTACAAAAGAGCTCTGGTGGGGTGAAAGAGTTTGAACAGGGTGGTAGGGGAGCTGGTGTGCTCGAGCTGCAGCTGGTAGCACAGGAGTGAATGGAGAGAGATGTGGGAATTTTTCAAAGCCACTCATTCTGAAGGAAGCAACAGAGTGAGGTCCCATCAAAGCCATTTTAAGGCAGTTAGTGATTATTTACATGGAACTTCCAAATATGTAATTTTGATCCTTAGGGATGAGCTTTAAAGGGTCTGCACAGTGACCAGAGGGGCATTCTAAGGATTCACATTAGGTTGGGTGGTTAATTACATAGTTTTTTTATGGTGCAATAAATTCAAAGGGCATATGTATTACTATGTTGGACATTATGAAACAATACATGTACAATTTTGAGATTTCACACATGAATAACATCAACGTAGAACATCAAATTCTTGACTTTTATATGTCTTTCCAAGCAACAATGTTAATGTTGCAGGTTATAGTATTCCTCTGGACTCTGAAAGTCAGCAGTGAGACAGAAAATATGGGATATATTAGAAGGTAAGTGACAATATTTTCCTGTTTCAACAAAGTGATCGATGTGGTGATCAGCAGCGCAGGGTCGCCATTATTACACCGCACAAATGCATTACAGCTGCCTCCCCACTCTTCCTATTAAATTATCCCTCTGACCAACGCACCAGCAGCAATAGATCATCCCGCCCAGGAAAGTTCACCCTTTGTACAAAATGTTGCAGTGTGTGTTTAGAAGCTGTTACTTCCGCTTACAACATCAGTAAAGAGTGATTTGCATGTGGTAAAAAGAGTCTGGCGATAGCAGCCGCTCAACATGTCAGCGAGGCCTAACACAGAATCTGTTGCTCTTTCCTTTGAAAATGATCTACGAGCATATCTGTCAGTTTAATAGAGCACCCCGGCAACAACGGGGATTGTTTCACTTAATTTCCACTGTTGAGATTTAGACTGTCATCAATAAGAGATTAAAGGCGTCTGATTAAAAATGCCGCGCAGAGAATGTTGCATAAAATTAAGGGGCTAATGATAAAATGATTAAGCTTCTTGGTGATGAAAGTGTTGGGGCGGATGGTAAATTGATACTTGGTGGGGTGGGAGGGGGAAAAAAAAAAAGAGACCTGCTGCAACATTTATGTTATGTGCTTCAATTATGCCAAAGGGGGGCCTAATTGGTTGAAATATCTACTGTTGGATGACAAAAGTACCGTACAGCTATATGAAAGATACATGGAGTTAATCGTAAGCCTGAAGCTCTCCTTAACCCACATTACGGCTTTCGTATGAACTTTTCGGGCCTAGCTGAAGAGAGCTATCTGTGTCGATAAAAACAAGGAAAGGAAAGAGGAGGAATGTTTGCGAGAGAGAGAGAGGGGTCAAACGTACGCTGGGATGCCAGCTCGTGCCAGCACTTCGGCTTTCATGGCGTAAAGGCGTTCGCTCTTACTGACGCCCAGCTTGATCTTAACTCGGTCGTGAGCATTATCTTGGAAGAAGAAGCCATTGTGGATGACAAACTCAGCATTGGATCTTGTGCCATAGAAGATGTAGATCTGCAGGAAGAATAAATCAGATTATCAACATCAACACCAAACCTTCCAACACCTGCTTTGATGGCATAATTAATCTGAGCATTTAACCTTTTAATTATAGATGGCTATAGTTTACTTTTTAGTCAGTCAAATTACATGTTGCTATTTTTAGAATACATTTCCTTACTCAAAAAGACATCAGTCGACAGGATAGCAGCACTACGCACGTTGAATAATATGGTTTTGTCATGGCAAGCTGCATCACTGAAGACATTTATCAGACTTAGCACAGCTCCTCTGCACACAGTTTTGTTCTAACCATTTTCCATCTGAGGCAGAACACCCCAACATCTAAGGCTGAGGTAGAAAATCAGCAAAAAATCTGTTTTTCAAGATTTCCAGAATTTGAAATATTATTGAATGTCGTAGACAGATGTTGGCAGTGCTCCATGTCTTTACATTTACCCCAACTAGCACCATATGAAGCCATGTTGCATTAAACTGTCACAAGGTTGTTTGCACTGTTAGCATGGATGTACTGTACAGACAGTCATCACCAGGTTTGATACAGGCATAAATGTCTACATTTTACACCTCATTTAGCTTCTGTAACTGTTCCTGCTGTACAGTGATCCAGTCAAGGAGCCACTTTCCCTCTCTGGTTTGACCACTGAGGGGGTGCGTGTGTACACAAAGAGAAGCAAGACAGATGATAAACACCAAAGTGTGAGACTTAATAGAGAGTGACTGTGTCTTCACCTGTTCGTTCTCCTTGTAGTCTTGCAGTGCCACACACTCACAGCGGTCATCTTCCAAGTTGTAGCCAGTGGTGATCTGCAGGTCGACAGTTGTTTTTTAACCAATTCAATCCTTACCAGTGCTTACTGAACAAAATCACTTCAGAAAGTACTAAGACCCCTTCAAATTTTGTACATTGTTTTATGTTGTAGATTGTAGTCAGTTGCATTTTATTGGCTTTTATTATCCTTGAGATGCATCTCGAACTTGATTGAATTTTACTCTTGGCAAACTCCTCTGGTCCCACAGCTCATACTGCATGCCAGGACAAAGACTGAGTCACAAAGTCAAAGGAATTCTCCTTAGACCTCTGTCATAAAACTGTGGCAAGTCATAGATCAGGACAAAGGTATAAAACCATTTCTAAAATTTTGAGTGTTCCCAGGAGCACAGTAGCCTCAACAGCTGTGAAATGGAGGAAGTTTGAAACTATCAGCACTCTTAGAGCGTTATCAGGCCAAACTGAGTAACCCTGAACAAGTAGGTCCTTGGTCGGTGAGGTGACCAGGGAGCCAGAAGTCACTCTAACCATGTTTAAGAAGTCCTCTGCAGAGATAGGAAAGACAGCCATCTCACCAGCACTCATGAGTTAGTCCTTTATGGGTTGGACAGAAGAAAGGGACTCAGTAGTAAAAAGGCACATGACAGCTTGTCTGGGGTTTGCCAGTATTTCAAGAAGTCAGAGCATGACAAAAAAGATTCTGAGACCAAAATTGAATTCTGTGGGCAGAACTCCAAGCACTATATTTGGCGAACACCAAACACTGCTCATCATTCGGAAAATATCATCCCTACAGTGAAGCATGGTGGTGGCAGCATCATACTGTGGTGATTCTTGTCAGCAGCAGGTACAGAAAATCTGATAAGAACTGAGGGCAGGACAAATGCTGCCAGATGCAGTAAGGTCTTTAAAGAAACCCTGCTCGTACATGGGAAAGGTGTCCCTTTTTAAATTACATCTACAACACAATAACACGTACAACAGGTGAGACAGTCTGATTACTTTCTGAGACAACAATAATAATTGATTCTTGTGTATTTGACTTTGTGTTAAATAATGGAAGAAGTCAAAATTATTATTATAATTTTTACTGTCAACTGTGTGTGTGTGCGTGTGTGTGTAATATAGACATTACCAGTCCATTTGTGTGGTTACACATGTCCCACAGGGGAATGAGGGCCAGAGTGACCCGGCTGCCGTCCTCTGTAGGGATCTGATTCTGGCGGGTCATCACAGAGGACACTGCCCACCTGTCACACACAATCAACCAATCACTGCTTGTTACTCCACTGACATGGACTGTTAAATCCTCAGCAACAGCAAGAACAAGAAGTTCAGTTTTAACACTGGTATTGTTGTTAGTGGCAAAACTGAACATTGTTAATACCAGTGTTCAATTTTGACACTGGTATTTCCATGTGGAGAGAGGACTTGCATCAGATGATGATGGGGAAAAGACAGAAAAAGACGAAGGCAGATGGAGGGTGAACAGAGCCAATGAGGAGAAGAGGAAAGAGACAGTAAAGCAGAGAGGAAAAGGTCTGAAGAAATCATTTATCATCACACCACTTTCTCTCCTCCTTCAACACAGTAATTTAGCTCTCAAAAGGCTTAAAATATGATTCTGATTTGTTATAAACAGGGCTTGCTTTTCATTCCATTGGTTTTGATAAGATTGAACCACGGACCAGAGTAACCCCTGATATATGGGGATATTTAGCCAGGCTGTATTACTAAGTTATCTGAATCTCTTTAGTTTGATAGTAAAAGTGAATATGAAGTTCCCTAGGTGCTTGTGTTACCGCAGTTCATACATGTGTAACTGTAGCAAGTCCAGTCGGGTCAAAAGTGAAGCAGGATATGGCTGCAAACAGTGTCTGAAATTCAGCCACTCAGCACTACGAGTTTAAGATACTCAACATTTTGCTCTATCGTGTGAATAAACTGAATTAATGATTGTCACGATGCATCAGTAACAGGTGTGGAGCAGAAATATTATGACCAGCTGCCTAATATGTTGTTGGTCCTGCACCCAGCACCAAAACAGATCTGACCTGCTGAGGCCTGAACTCTACTAGACCTCTTTGTGGTGCCGAGCACCAAGGAATTGGCAGCACATCTGTAAAGTAAGTTGGAGCTACCATGGATCACACCTGCTCCAGCACATCGACAAAACTCTGTATCCGGTTCACTGGCTGACTGGTTTGAGGAAGGTCTGAGCACTGCTGACTGGGAGCACCCAGTGGACCTTCAGTTACAGAGTTTATACCCAAAGTTACAACAATAACAGTGAAGCTAAACAAAAACATGAGCAAGACAAAAGTTTTTTTCTTTTTTCTTTTTCTGTCAGCCCACTACCTAATCTATATAGATCCCTGCTGCTCACCCACACTGATCACTCAGTGTTTGAACTGATCAGGGATCAGAGAAGTGCTACAACAGTTCAGTGCACCTTTGCTGTCTGCACTCATTGGCACAACTGTGGAGCCATGAGTGGCTTAGCTAACAATCTAACAATTAGGTAATAAATATTCAGTCTTTTCAGCTGAACTGGCGGCAGTGTGAAAAATATAATCAAAGAAATTCAACTTTAATTGTTTTTTTAATTTATGGCATTACTTTGGTAAGCTGCATATAAGACATTTCTGAGTTCTTGCTATTGTTAGCCAGAGTTGTGCTAAGTAAAATATGCAAGTTGAAATGTGACAAGGTCATAAAACGGTCAGAATCTGCTTGGAGTTCTGAGGGTTGATGTTGGACAATTCAATATTATGACGAACTAGATTTCAGTCGTTGTGATAAGAGAGCAGAGAATGTCGTCAGAGTGTTAATGTTTTTGCTCGATGCATGTTATCATGTCTTCAGTTGTCTATAGTTGTCGTCACCCTATTTTATATAGTTCTCCATGTGTCCTGTGTAATTGCTGTGGATGTCGCATGCAGTGATATTTAAAACCAGCACCTATGAACCAGGCAGTAAAATGTGGCTGAACAGAGCCTTTCATTTCCTCTTTGTCTCATGTGCCTGACTTGCACAAATGATGGAAGCTTACAACACACACAACGTGGCTAAGAATGTTACTTTCTTGGTTTGACTAATCTGGATGGACCAACCATCAGATTGCTACATCCTGACTGCTCTATCAGTTTGCTTTCAGGCAATGTCACCATCTTTCTTCATGTCAAGCGTGTGTAAGGAGAGAGGTTAAAACTGTGGAACCTGTAATAAAGCTAACTAGTTATTTTTATTTATTTTAAGTGAAAAGCACACACATAAACCACCCCCCAACCCCACCCCCAGACACAATGGCATACACACTCACACACACACTGACCTGTAGTCATCAAATGTGAAGCTGTCCTTCAGGGGCAGCTTGCTGGCAGCAGGATGAGTCTGGGGATGGAGAGAAGAAGGTGGACGAGAGGAAAAAGCAAGGGGAGAAGGAAAAAACACAAATCAGTACGAGGAATTTCATTATGCAGGTATGCTGGAGGGGGGCTGCCTGACAGGGATGCCTAACAAGAAGAACAGGGAGTAGGGGGCCACCACTGGGGCATGTGTGTGAGTGTGTGGTCTGTTAGTGCAGTGTGACACTCGACCCCTCACATACATCACTGTCAACTTAATTTGTTGTGGCCAGCAGCCGTCATAAATCTGCCTCATCAATTTGGGCCTGAATCAGTGTGTGTATGTGTGAGTGTGTGTCAGTGGACGCCGCTGGTTCCTCCATTTAAAGTCACAGCAGCCACCTACCAGAGTCATTTGCAAACTGTCCTGAGCTTAAGCAGAAGAGAAAGAGAGAAAGCGAGAGAATGAGAGTGGAGTTCAGTGGAATGCATAATGAAGAAAAAGAGGAGACAGAGGGAAGGAACATGGAAGCAGAGCGAGAGGGCAAAGAGTAAGACAGAGAAAAGCAAAAGTAAGAAAAACTAGACTCAGTGTTCAGTAATAAGGGAATCTGTGAGAAAGGCTGTAAGTCAAGTCAAGGCACCTTTATTTATCTAGCACATTTAAAAACAACACAAGTAGACCCAAGGTGCTTTACATTATAAGTCAACTAGAAGTGCATGAACGGAACTCTTATAGTGTGTTGGCTACAGATTCTTTACGTTGAGATTTGAAGTTCTGGGATGCACACTCACTTGATTTCTTACTAAAGGTTAGATGCAGCCTTTGACAATACATCAAGTGTAAAAATGATGTAATCACAACAGGTACAGAGGTTGATCTCCAGTTAAAAAGTAACTAATTAAAGTAACTCCACCTGACCACGTTAGTCGCCATGTTGTGCACCCGTCATGGTCTGCAGTACAGTTGTGATTCTATGTGGCTAGCTGCTCCTGCTATCGCTCTATGAATTTAAAAGTCCAGCGTGTAGGATTCAGTGGCATATCATAGGGAAGTTGCACACTGCAATCAAATGAATGCCCCTCATCTAAACCTAACCTTCCAAGTGTGTAGGGAAACCTTTGGTGGCACAAACATAAAAAAAAAGTCCTCACTACAGCTAGTGTTTAAATTTACTGAAGATAAACCATCTTTACCACATACGCAAAAACATTGTCTCAGTCCACTCCACAAGCTTTAAGTGACTCAGTTGTGACCAATAGTCATTTGACAAAAATTCAGTTACTTTTCTGCAGATTGTATTTGCACCAAGCAGAGAGGAGACAAGTATGGAAAACTTAGACCGATTGAGAGGAAAACAAAGCGTATTTAAAAATATAAATACATGCAGAAGACACTAAATAAGACAATGTGTCATTGTGTTTGTTTGTGGTCGTAATATTTGAATTAAAAATGTGCTTTTAAGTAACATTATCAGAAGATATGGCATTATTTTTCCAACAGTATTTTTGTTTGGCCTCACCTCTGTATTGCTGAACAAACAACCATCCGTTTCAACTTCTAGTTCCACACCATTGCTATTTGTTATGATGACGATAGCGATCAGTGAGAACTCAAAATACCGCCACCATCCGAAACTACACTTCCTAATCACACACAGTCATTTCTCATCACTTCAGACAACATTACACTGGCTTACATTCACTTCCTGACAACTATAACCTAACCCTAACTTGCCAAACCATAAGCTGGTCTCAAACCTAAACCTAACCTTAGCCTAATATTCAAACAAGCCTTACATTTAATTTTAAAACATTTAATGTCGACTTTATGTCCTTTCAGGAACAAAAAGCTTCCACAACGTGACCGTGTTAACAGTTTTGTCCCCACAACATAAGTAATACATGCAGACACACAACTCTGTGCTGCGCTTGACATGGACACTGAGCAACGAGGGTTCATGGAGGTGTGTGTCCCATCCTCTCATCTTTGATACATCTCCTTTCTTAACACACAACCGCACACACATACACACTCTTCCCTCCTCCTTGTTTTGTCCCCAGCTCCTACCTCCTCACCCTCCTCCTCAGATGACCGGGCTGGAAAATTAGCTTGTCACATTGGCTTTGAATTGAATTGACCTAAATGTACCTTCCTCAAAAACCCCTCACTCTCCCTCCTCGCCACCCCCCATCCCCCTGTTCTGTCTCTGCCTGGCGTGAGGAATGTATGTATGACCAGCCACACAGCCTGATATATGTTGATGTATACAGACAGACAAAATCACTACCGACAACCCCTCAAATATGCACCCCGGCATGGAAATACTTACGAAAACCCAGTATGCCTCTGAAGCTCAGAGATCAATAGGATCTATCTCATTTGTCTGACCCGTACACACAAAGAAATGTAAATAATGCAGTTTCGCGTCTTATTAGTGTGCCGAAACCATGTCTGTGGCTCCAGAATTGATGGTAACTTAGGCTAACTTCTGTCACTGTGACCTTAACACACCAATGTGAGATTTTTTTTTTCCCAATCTTGAGGAAACGAGCAAATAAACCAAAATAAATATACTAAACATGAATTCATACAAAGTGGCATCATGTACAAAAGGTCAGCATGTGTGGGGGAACAAAAAGCTGAAAGCTTTTCAAATAATGTGCACATTCAGGTGTAAGGAATTAAATTATTTACAACTCCTAGGGTCAATTTTAGTAAAAAAAAAAAAAAAAAAGAAAAAAATCAGTAACACTTTAAATCCCTATTCAGCATTTATAAGCATTCAATTAATACGTACTGAACAGCTACTGCATGTGAACGCAGCTGTGAATGACGGTGCTTCTAAAAATATATTTGGCATTACTGTACTTTAATTTCTTGTCATTAATTGGCTGGCCTCTTCTTTTATAGTGAGACATCTGCAAACAGTCAATATCAACCAATTTATCAACTTGACTGATTCATGAGTGATATGGCAGAAAAACTTGGTCACTTTGTTTAACTTGACAAGCACGGTCCTCTGCCTTCACCTGTAGGGATGAATCAGTGTCAACACACACAGTAGCTATTCAGCTCCAGAGGTGAAATATGATGTGACCATACTATTTTACCCCGAGGTAGGGCTCTGTGTGTGTCCATGTGTGTGTGTGTGTGAGACATAAGAAAATCTCCTCTACTGATAGACAAAGTCAAGCTCAGAGCAGGAGTATATCATTAAATACAGCATTCTGCCATCCAGACCCCAAAGTTCTACATTGTTGCTGGTGACTGTAAGGAACAGAAATCCTGATGGATACTGTCAGAACATAAGAGCTACAACATTTATTATAATTTTTGTACAGCCAAACAGCAAAACACAATCTCCATGTAGCCACATGTTCAATTGGGTTTATACACAATTCAGTGTAGATTTACATTGATTTTTCAATAAAAACGCTTGAGAGCCGCACTTACAAAGAAGACTTAGTGCACATGACCATTTTCAGATATCAGGATAAACCATTATTCAACTTACATGAACAAAAACACAACTTCTTGGCATTTTCTATACTGTCATACAAATGTATATTTTCCAAGTCCAGTACAGTCTGAACACAGTATGGAGAACAGGCACAATAACTAACACGACCACGTCATGTTTACCATGCCTGTGCAGAGCCTGAGAAGACAGCATGGAGGCTTTACTATGGACTTCATTGTAACCGTATGAGGCCACACTTGAGAGGCCTTATCTATCAAAGCATGTACCCAACACATGAGCACAGGAACTGTCCGTGTCAACAGGATAAACTGATAAAATGACAAATCTCACCATCCATCTGCTCATGCAAGCACAGGCTCATCTACAATCAGAAACACTACCAGAATGCCAAAAATGGTCAACATTTCCCCCTAACAGCCCTGTGGCCTTACTGTTGAGTTACCTGTTGTGGACTGAAACAGCAAAATAGACTATATAAAAGATTAACTAAACCACCGTTAGATCACCCACTGGTTTATAGACTGCTATCCAGAAGCCTTGACTTGGTGCTTGAAATTTTACTGTCGCCACCCTAGTCCTTTAAAACCAGACGTAATGAGCGAGGGGTGGATCTGAATTCAAGGTTGCTTTGCATCGTCATATGGTTGCAGCTTGTCAATCAAAAGGTAGCCCTGCCCTAAAATATTCTCTGCTTATCTTTTTTTTTTATTTTTTTTTTACATGGAACCCTTTTTTTCTGCAACCAGAGGAGATGTAGTCCATCTGTTCTATACAGTCTGTGGTAGCAAACTACAAAAACACAATAGACAACATATAATATAGCATTTATAAAGATCATGGAGCCCCCTGGGAGCAGACATGTGGGACGGTCTCACAGAATGCAATGAGGAAATAGACTTAAAGATGCAAGTCTCCTTAAACACGTGCTTCTACATTGTTCCTGGTATTATTGGCTGCCAAATAGATGGTCATTTTTAACTGAAGCGGTTTGAACTCAAATGAAGCGTTGTGCTCGAACCATTATAATCTGCCTATGATCTGCCAGTGAAACCAAAAGTGATGGATCTGTGACTACAGCTGCTATAGGGCCGGGATACTCCTTCTGTCTCACTTATACTGAGCGGTTTAGAAAACAACACTCCCCCCTAGTGAAGAAATAATGCATTTCAAACAAGGAGTAAGCATTTACCTTTGGTTGGCCCTGGTGAAAAAAAAATAAAAATAAAAAATTTACATCAAACACATTGATTGGGAAATTTGATTACCTTATATCATATTTTAACGCACGGAGATATTACACTAAGTTTGCACCTGAAAGAAACTATTCTGTCAAATATAGACATGCCTGTCATTTTAATATGCAAACACTGGTTTTCCCTGTGGCTGCAAGGTGGATCAGTGATTAGCACCGTTGCCTCGCAGTCACCGGTTCGCGTCCCGATGAGGACACCGGGATCTTTGTGCACGGAGTTTGCATGTTCTCCCCGTGCAGCGTGGGTTCTCTCCGGGTTCTCCGGCTTCTTCCCACAGTCCAAAAACATGTTGAGGTTAATTGATGATTTTAAATTGTGAATGTGAGTGTGCTTGGTTGTCTGTCTCTAAGTGTAGCCCTGTGATAGACTGGTGACCTGTCCATGGTGTCCCCTGCCTTCACCCTAAGTCGGCTGGGATAGGCTCCAGCCCCCCCGCGACCCTAATGAGGATTAAGCGGTGTATAGATGATGGATGGATGGTTTTCCCTGCCTATGCACAGTCTAATTAAAACAAACACCTAACCCCTGAAGGAAAGAAAGGTTTCTGTGAGAAACTCTTCTTTTGTTGCGTCTTTGATAAAATAGGAAGAGACTGACTTCAGAGAAAAGGACTGTGCAGAGTTCTGATCAAAGCATCGCTGGCATTTTACCATGCTTTAGATTAAAAATGGAAATTAGCATATCTTGAGATTACCATCCTACTGTCTGTTGTCTAGGCCTGTTAACCAATATTTCATCATTTAATCACTGTCTCTATATCTTAGTCATTTGTTGGCAGATTACATTGGTCAGAAAGCCCTTGTGTGATCATTTTCAAAGTTCACAAACTGATTCTTTTTTCAAAGTGTAAAAGAGCACTGCTGAGTTTGATATGGAAATCATTTTGTCATTCATCAAATTAGAAGTTTATATGCCTATCAAAATCCAAAGGAGGAGAAATATCAGTGACAGTAATCCGATAGCTCAGTCCATCTGTGGTTCAGCTCCGTCTGCAACTCCAGTTCTGATTTGAGACGTTCTGTATTTTTCCTCTCGCCCAATGCCTCCCCCTTCTGGTCTATGTGGAGTATTTCAGGCACATGATTGGATTGTTCTATCCTCAGATGGCAGTTTATTAGCTACACCTAGCTGCTACCCAGTGCTAAAGCCAGTACACTCCAGTAAAACAGCCTTGTAATAAATCCTCTGTCACCAAGGTTCTCATGTCCAGTTTTTGTTGCAGCTGTCTTAGAGAAGTGTTGACTCGACTTTGCTGCAATACTGTTGACTGCAGTTGTTGTGCTGTTAAACTGCCCTTCTATGTACAAACAGGTGCTTCTGTTGCTTTTTTACGAGAGTACTTCAAAAAGTTCTGAGCCTCACCCAGAAACAAGGGGCATAAGTCCCTTCAGGACTATAACTGTATACTATAAATCCTTGTATCACTGTCCACAAAAACTGTAATGATTGAAGCAGTCATAGCAAAAAGGAGTGGAAAGCTTTGAGCTGGCATGCTGTTGCTCCAGAACAATGGGCCGTCCACACAGCACAGATGGCAGTTAGCACAGGTGAGTTTCAGGTTGGGTGAATTAGGTGTGTGGGGTAAGAGTTCAAAGCCACATTTGGCTGCTTCTGCCATCTGCCGTGTGGACCAAAGCATTGTTCTGGAGGCTCAGCAGCCAGCTCAAAGCTTTCCTTTCCTTTTTGCTTTGATTGCTTCAAAGATTTCTGTTTTTTTTGGACGTTGACATAAGGATTTGTAGTGTATAGCTATGCCCCAAAATGGGAGTTAGGCCCCTTGTTTCCAGGTAAGGCCGGGAACTTTATGAAGTGCCCTCGTATACTGATACCTATGGAATGGGCAAATGTTGGCAATACCTTTGTATTATAATGTAATAAGCACAGTAAGGACATTTTAAGGTATTATTACTCATTTCTATAAATAATGATACTTTCAAAAAATTGTCATAGTGCTCACCTAATCTGCACTACCTTTAAATACAGAATCTGAAATGGCTTCTCATTTGAATACTATTTCTCTCTGCCCTATGCTTCTGTGGATTACTGATTCAAGTTAAATGCAGAAGACGTCTGGGCTACAATTAAGGTCATGTCCAATAGAAACCTCTGACATTCACTAATGCACTTGGACAATTTTAGTGTCCCCTTAATTCTTGTTTTACTTTTAACATGTATCATTATAAAGAGATGCATATGTCTGTAATGTAGATATTCCTAAGAATATCTATGGCAGCACATATTTCATATGTTTCTCATTAGTATTTTGTTAAATATGTGCAGGAAGAAGTGCTTTGTCGTTGAAGAAGAAATTAGTCTGTGGAGAATGGCGCAGGTCTCACCTTGACCCAGAGGTGGCAGACTTGAGTCAGTTTCAACATTTTGCAACTTTGCCTGTTCTTTTCCATCTTTTCTTTAATTTATTTTTCTTTTATTATTATTATTATGCAGCATTCTAGTGTGTTCCTTGTAACCAACCCCATAAGCCTTCTTGATGTACCCTCTAACATCATACCTAACAGGCTGGTGCAAAGACTGAAAGATCTGCTTGTATACACAAAATAAACAGTCCTATACAATACAGCTGCCAGTCTACATCTCACTGTTAACAGAGTCCAGTCTGTAGTGCCATCACACACAGACACAGACAGACACACACAACCTGACAGCTGCACAGAATTCCAGTAAATACTGGGTAAAGATTTTGGTTTCATTTTTCTCTCTGAATGCACGTTCGCTTCCCGTTGCTTACTTCTTTGATGAGTTTGTTAAAAGACATTGAATCACTGGTATAACTGAATTTATTTCCATTCTTGACAGCAACGCTAGGCTGGTCATGGAGGAAGGTCAGCTGATTTGAGTTTACCTATGCAGATAGACTTACATACAGCTGGTTTAGGGTATACAGCATTTCTGGACCATCTGATGTGATGTCACAATGTCCTTAAAAAATAAAGTTGTCACCAACTATATAAAAAAACCAAGGCTCAAATCAAGCAGGGCCCAAACCAAAAGGTTTTTGACATCTAGTTCTACATTGATATACCATTATATGCCAAAAAAGACAAAACATTTTTTACTTTTCCATAAACTATTACTTAAAAACAGAAGACTGGTTTGCTACAGTTTTTTTCAAAGGAGGCCAAACAAGTTCTGTCTTGGAGGATAATTCTGGTTTATGTCAGCAATCCATACTTCACATTAATGTGTGGAAGACTTCAGCTTTATTGCTTGGTTCCAAAACACTTTCATATCAGTCACGTCAAAGCTGTCCACCGTAGTGCTTTGGTACATACAGACACATGCACCCAAAGCTAAAATTTCCTTTGCCAGGACAGAGGCCACAGTAGGAAATTCCAAGGTAACTTAATCATTTTTTTCTAAATTTGTATTTTGAGCATTCAATAAGCATGTAGCTATGTGTATTTTTAAAATGTCTGTATAAAACCATTTAAACTACACAACTAAAAGCTATATCAAAGGTAAGAAAAACAGGAAAGTTGATAAAAGTTTGTTATAAGGGAACTGTCAAAGACATCTGTCTAATTAGCATCCAGTTATGTTTATAACAGAGGTAACAGCCTGTTAGCAGCTTGTGTATGTACAGTAAGTGTGTGCCTGTGTGATCTGTGGTGTGGTGTATCCGCTTACCTGTACTAGTTTGTAGAAGTAGGCATATTGGCGTGCGGTGTTCTTATACTGGCTTAGGACATCCTGCACTGCCTGTGTGCCCAGCAGCAGCTGCACATCATCCTGCTGGTAGTAGAGCGGTGTGTCATATTCTTGAGGAAGACTGTGGATGTATGGCAGCCAGAATGAAGCTGGGTTGGCCCGCTCACACAGCAGGTGGAGGGCCAGCGTCACATTGCCCATGGCCTGCAGGATCCGGTCTTGGCCGTACAGAGGACCTAAGAAATGGAGGTAAGCAGGGCTGAGTGATATGGCCAGAAATATTCTACAATTCTACAATTTGGCAGACGCTTTTATCCAAAGCGATGTACATCTGAGAGCACATACAACACAAGCAAGGATCTAGTCATGAGAAAACAACCTAGATAAGTGCCATAGAACAAATTAAAAAATATTATCACTGCTGTTTTTTTTAAATAGTTACAGTGCTATCAAATGAACATCACACATTTATGTGCCACAAGAGAATACGTTATTATTATTGTTGGTAATCAAGAAAACCAAAAACCACTATTTGGAACCAGTATACACTAAATGTTTTATACTAATAACATGTGATAGCAGCAGACCTGTCATTCCTAACTCAGCTTCTTCAGTGATAAGGATTACGCTAACTGAACATCCTGATCCAGATTGATGTTTATAATGTGAACTTCTTACCCAGCACAGAGTTCTGAGCTGATTCCACTGTCATTAGCATCTTCCTTGGGATCCACAGGAACAATTCCTCTGCCTGCATACACACATAAAGGCACAGTATAAGTAATATTTAGCACAACAACTAAAATGAGGGCAAGCCAAACTAGCAACTGCATTACAAACTGAGCTAAGTTAGCTAATTAAGTGATTTAAGTAGCAGAGAAACTTCTTACATTCTTATAAATCAAAAATCAAGTGACCACCTTGATCTCCCTGGTGGCCCGCAGGCCGTAGCCCTCTGTTCCAAAGTCAGCCACAGTGAAGCTGTCACAGGACGCCCCATTTTCCTGCGCCCAGGACATCAGATCTGGGAAGTAGTCCTCCCGGTTGCCATCGAACACTATGGACATACCTGAACCAACACACACATACACATGCAGCAAAAATGGGGAAAAAAAATGGTGCTGTTGTCACCAAGAAACTAATCTTTTTCTAAAATGATGTCGATATCTACTGTTGCTGACAACTTTGTATTTCTTCAGCACAGTACAATAGATAAAAATATTATTCATGTGAAAAAGCAAAAATATTGTTTTTACTCACCCTTTTGTTTCTTGCGGATCTTCTCCACCAGGCCTCTGATTTGGATGTACTCCTCCCACTCTTTACCCGCAGGGGGTGCTGCACTGCTGCATTCTGGAAAAGCAATTCACAACAGACACCTCAAATGTTGGTGAACCACACAGTCAAACACACCATAACACCATAAAGAGCAGTCGGTACTGAAGGGTTCAGTGCAGAAACCTGCTTCTACTTCCTCACCAGTTGTTAAAAAGTCCAGTCACCGTATTTCAGATATCAGCGAGCTCTTCATGACAACTAATGCACAACACTAGGGCATGACAGAAAGGTGTGAGGAATCTGGGTTACCTTCTACCAGGATCTTTACCCTTCATCTAAGTCACTTCTGCTCACTGAGGACATGAAGCAGACTGCACAGACTGTATCTGGACAGGTATACTAGGTTCAATTTAAGACTTCTTTTACTACAACATAAAATGCTATGTTTATAACCCAAGAGTTAATTATTATCATATCAAATGTATTTTAGTGCATCCCTGTATTAATTTCAAACAATATAATTAAATGTGCCTTGTGGAACTGTCTTGTTAACAGCTAAAAGTTACGTTTGCTTTCAGTGTTACTCAGTAAAAATTGTATCAAGGTGAATTTGACTGATCGCATCCTTTGGTTTTGTTGTTGTTGTTTTCAATTTTTCAACACATATTGCAACTATAGCATTGTTGTGAATCGTCTTGGCCTCAACAAATTGTGCAGTGAAAATCTGATTACATGACAGCTCCAGTGTACATTCATATTTACAAGCTAAAGTCTTTGTCTTCTCAGTCTTAGCTGGCACAGTGCCACATATCTTGTAGTGGAGTTATTGAAGTGAAGCCACTGGCAGAACTATGGAACGAATCACTAGTGTGGACACAAGAGCAGCGTTCGTGTTTAACTCAGGCATGTTACTTTTCACTAAAAGTCCACATAAAGAAACTGAACATTCACTTCCACAGAAAAGCCCCCTTTTAGTTTAAAGGTCCATAACATTTCCTGACAGGCCATATTATATTACACACAATGTTATCAGTTAAATTTCAGATTCCTTCTTTTGAGGGAAATGAAATCAGTGCTTGTTGAGACGTTTCAAGCACTGCAGATGTCCTGGTTTCATCGTATTCTTTTAATTTGATAGTAACAACTGGGTTACATTTGTCATCTTTAGCACACAGCAGTAGCATGTAAGTTGTGACTTTGTGTTAACTGGATCAGCTTTAAGAAGAAATACAACCCTATGAGCTCCTGCTAAGCTGACAAGTTGGACATAAAGCTTAATACATCTTACTGGCATATACGACTGTACAATGATGTGTCCAGAACTCCTTCCAAAATTAATTGCTATTTAGGTTGCTTGGTAAAATAAAGTAATTTTACAAGGAGAAATGGCTCAATATTCCATGTACAATATGCTCCAAACCTTCTAGATGCCAAGAAGCCTTTACTATAAATGTGGTCTATGCTTTCATTCATTTAAGTGACCATAGGACAGCTCTGTGGCACTGAAATGTGGAATCTGAAGTGTGTAAAGGAGATTTGTACAGGTTTTGTGCATGTAAAGATAAAAGTGGACTGGGTGTGCAAGCTGAATGTGGACGTACTCTGCAGCAGTTCAGAGATGAGGTTCATCATCTCCTTGGGGGAAACCACAGCACTGGCTCCTGAGCCCGACTTCTGAGTTTTCACCCGACTCTTCTTTCCCATGGTGCTGGATGGACAACTGGGCTGAGAGAAAACATCATTTTTACTGTGAGTATTTCATACTAGGACTTCTTGCTACCAATCCACCCTGCTTACAGTGTGAAGCTCTCCGACAACCGGGTCATGTCGAAAAGTAGCCGTGTTTATTTCAGACTTGCTGTAAAGATAAAGTTTCTAAATATATATGTGTATATAAAAAGAAATGCAAGAAAGCCCTTCAGCAGCTGATAAAAATATATATTTTTTAAAAATCAATAAAGGCAGAAACCTCAAGAAGAACAACGGAGGAGGCTTCCTTCCTCAGGAGAGATGGACCTGAAATAGTTGGTGTTTGTACAGAATTTACAATAAGCTTTTTGGAAACAAGGGCATTACAAAAACCAAATCTCACGTAGCTCTAGTGGTATTTAGCTGGGTCAGATGTTTTCATAGTGAATGTTATATGTCTCACTGAGATTTCTGCTTCCTCTGCAATATAATGAAGATGAAATACATGTAATGGTGCACAAAGCACTGGATTAAAAATGACATTTAAAAAACTAAACTAACCTTGTCTTTCCAGAAAAAAAAAAGCATTCTCATTACCCTGGATACTCTGCAGACCTCACTGTTAACTGTCAGCAACTAACTATTTTCAGGGCTCTGGGCACCAAACATCCGAGACGCATGAACTGCTCAGTCTGGCCAAGACAGACCTCGCCAACACATGGTTTGGTTCTCTGACAACTGTGCACTAAACTAACAGTGCACAGCTTTGTGTAATAACAGGTTTCCTATATTTTGAAACAGTTCAGTTAACAGCTAGTGTGGATGAATTGTCCTGATTACTTGTGGCAAATCATACAAATGTTGCAGAACCACAAGCATCACAGGAAAACGTTACAACACACATCTCTAGTGTCAATCTGATATTTCATTAGGAAGAGTAAGTTCCAGTGTTAGTCCCACAGCTTTCACACCGGCAAAATGACACCTTTAAATAGACCAAGTGTCAATGCTCAGTTTATGTGCACCAATTTAATTTCCTACAGGTCTTAGCACAACTACCATGAATTCCTGCTCTCTCTGAGCGGTTACTCATCCCACTTGCCTTCTCTGTCTTACACAGACACCATTTCACAAGTCAGACAGCTTACCAAGGTAAAGGAAGTGGCTGAGGCCATTTCTACCAATCCGTGTCTTTTCTGTTTCAGAGAAAGGCCAATCCGCCTCACATTACCAAAGCCCCACTGTGTCTGTATCTCACCCTGCCTCTCCCAAACAGCCACACAACACACAGCTGCTCTGTGACATGTAGTAGCAGCTGTCACTGTGATCTAAGGCCAGTCACTTACATGAGGAACAGAGCTCCAGGCAGCCCCTGTTTGGCTTTCTCCAAAGGCTGCTTAACATCTTTGTTTTTAGGCACACAAACACGAGATTGAGGAAAATCTACTACACTAACCTAAAACTCTGTTTGGAACACCTGTGCAATCTGATACGACAACTCTGCCAATATCTCATCTTTTTTAAGCTGAGGTCATGCATGTTAACGAGATGGACAAAACATTAAGAACACTGTTGAACATGAGTAAAGACAAGCACAGATCAATCTGCTTGAACCTAGAAAATTGTCCGGTAAGTATAAACATTTTTTTTCAAAGGTCCGATAGCCCTTTTCAGTGAATTACTGAATGTCACTGGTCCCCCAAAGTGTGTCTTTTAATTTTTTTAGCTCAAAATACACCCAAGATGGTAATCATATTACATGGTAATATCTGAGCCTTCTCAGCAGAGTGGGAGTCTTTAACTTAAGGTTGTGGTGAATCTGTCAGACAATGGCACAGTTATAAAAATGCGTATTTTAGCAGTGCAGAGCAGCAGCTTAGGAATGGCCCTGAAGTAACTGTTGGTTAACACATAGTCCAGTGGGCTGTGTTTCAGTGTGTATTCCATGCTCATACAACAAGAACAAATAGAAATAGAAATCTATACATCTATATCTATATATTATCTGTCTCTAAGCCTTGTAATATGTTATAAATACTAATCATATTGAGGATTAATAGCTTGATCTTCTTTATTTTCTGTTACAGCATGTTGGTGGATGTGAGTTCCTAGCTTTGAAATTGTTGACCCTCCCTGTGCTTATAAAATGAGGGCAATTTCCTACATTGCAATAAAGATTTTCTTCTTTTGGTAGGGACACTGATGTAAAAACCAGTAACCCACTGGGGTGCGCAGCTCCCTAGATGCTAGGAGTGCAAGAAAACTTTTGTGTTCACTCTTGAGCCATCAGGAGGGCATCTGACATGTGGCTTAGACATGTCTGTGTTAGCAGAAGCAGTTCTGGCAGGTAAATGAAGGTGGGAGACTGGAGCAGTGGCTCTTTGTGAACTGCTCACCTGGAATCAGTGACAGGGCAGGATGACGCAAATGTTTAGCTGGATGACTACTGGTTATCCAGTTTTTACAAAAAATCTAGATAAAATTCTTAGTGGCCTGAGTCACAGTGAGTACAAAATAAGTAACAGGTGCAAGAAAGATCAATACACTACAGATTACTTTCTCTTTTTTGTAACGTGGGGGATACTTGACTTGTTCCAGGCTAACGGCACTATTAGCAGCGTGGCGTGTCACACATGTCCCTCCACTGCTATTCCAGCTCCGTTCTGGAAAGTCTTATACAGAAAGCTACAAGTCCGCAAACCGAACAAAGGACACTTTCTTTATTGTTACTATAAATAGTAAAGTAACCGCGGGGGTTAATTTTAAACATGGCATAAGTAAGGTATTAGCAACGTTTCTCCTCCAACCAAATAACGGTGCAAACAGACACCCCACTACTAGTTATAGACCCTCGGGTTATTTTCGCCTTCCCCATTAGGCCAACAGCTAGCTTACGGTCATAAAGGAATCACGCCCATCCGGGCCGAGACGTAACTGAAGAGGGGCAGGGAAACGCCACAGCTCATTCATCTACAGTTAGCAAGCTAGCTGCTAGCTGCTAAGCTGTCAAGTGATGAAGGATCAGCCTGAGTTTTAGAATGGGCTAATCTGCAGGATTGGCAGGCTAACTAGCATTGCTTGCTAAAATACAACAAGCTCCGCACCCCATACGCGCATGTACACGGACCAATAGTAAACACTAAGTCAGAGGTTTGGTAAACCAAAGCATTCGCATTTTCTCGGATTCAGTCCTACCTTTTGAAGTGACAGCAGCAGTTCCTCTGTTCCTGCACTGAAACCAACCTTGACTGAGTGGCGCGTGCGATTGGAGTAGACGTGAAGCACACCCAAACCAACCTCACTGGCTTCTGGTGTTTTTATTGGTTGTTGGGCAGCATGCTCTGGGAACTTGACAGCGACTGGCTAAAAATGCAGATTTTATGTAAATATGATACGCCCCTCCCATCAAAGTTTACAATTGGACATTTACTTCTGCAAACCTTAAAAACACCGTAAATGGTCATGTTGGAGCTGCAGCGATAGGTTGAAAGACATATCAATCAGGAAGAAGGTTCGAGTGCAGAGCGACGTCTGTACGTGTGGACCGAGTGTGCAGCTTCCACACTGTGCGCATGTGTCAGCGACAGTCAGTACTGTGTTACCACTTGTTGATTTAAAAAGCTGTACAGTAAATGTGCAGCAGCTAGTAGCATATCTAATGCTAGTAGGATAAAGAAAAAAGTTTGTTCTTCACAGTACAACAATAACAACAACCTCCAGGTTCTAGTCCTGCTGCCAGCGGGGTAATGAAGACTTGTTCCACAGAGGCCTCCTCCAACCCCTCTATACCGTGACAGGAGGGATCCTGCCACGCTGGACAACATCAAAAAATACTTTAGAAAGAGTACATTGAAAATACAAAATAGAATCTCATTGCAATAAAAGTGGATACAAGTTATAAAAACTGTTATCACTAAAACTAAGCTTAGTACATATGTGATTTACGATCAGCCTAACTGCATGAACGTGGTGATAAAATGAGCTGTAAACACCAGTAAGACCTTCCTTACTGTTTGGCACACAATGAAATGATGAACATTTTCTAAGAAACATGAAAAAGTTGCTTTAGTCAGACGACGCCAAGATTAATTTGTTCAGCTCAGATGGGGTCCAGCATGTTTGGCATGAATCTTTCGGCGACAACCACAGTAAAAACAGTCCCACCAGTGAAACCTGGAGGTGGAAGTGTAATAACAAGGGGCTGCATGAGAACAAAAGGTGTTGGTGAGAGGATATTTAAAGATCGCACAGTGAATGCCTGTAGATATTACAAATTAGCAGCTGGCAGTTTGGCAGAGAAGGTATATTTCAGCATGATAACAATGCAAACCACACTGCCAAAAATCACATTCACAAAAGATTTTCTAAATAAAGAAAAAGCAAAAAGTACATCCTGACAAAGTCATCTGAGTCAGCTCAAACACTTTTTGGGGTATTTTAAAAAGAACAAGGAGCAGCTGAAAAAAAAGAAAATGCCATGCAGAGGTGGATTGAGTCTGTCATCAAAAATAAATGTGGACATAAAAAGTATTGATTTTTTTTTTTAGATTTGAATCTTAGTAATGTGAAGGTTCACTGACTTTCTTGCATTAACTTCCTACTATGGTGCCTTATTTTTATACAGTAAATCTAAACAGCTAGTTTTTATTTAATTTAATTAAATATTTAATTTGCTCAACTGAGATGTAATGCAATTCCTGTAAAGTGATGCAATTTTATATTAATTTACATTTAGGTAATGTTGCACAGTTGTGTTCACATTTCTGTAGTTTACTGTATATTACTTAAATAACAGTTTCTGCCTGGTTACAGAAAGCCGCCTGGCAAATGGAGCTTGCACTACTACACTATAAGTACAGATGACCTGGGGGCTATGCGAATGATTCATGTGACAGGCTTGTGTTATGTTAGGCAGCAGGCTGGCTATGGGCTACATTTTGCTCTCGGAGCGGTCAATATATACAGCATCATAAAAGACTAATGTGCATGATTGCAAATGTTACCAGCACAAAAGTAGCAGCTACTGATCATCATCAGCAATCGTCTCATTTAAATTCTGACTATGGAGGAAGAAAGCTCACTATGATTTAGATTGATCAGGAGGTATAGAACAAGCTATTATGGTTGTAAGTAGTTTTAGATTTTAGACTATGGCACACTGGCTACTGGAAGTGTTGACTTCCATCACTCCCACATGTTCCATTCATTCATTTAAACTGTTTTCTAAATATCTAAGCATTCTTTGTTCAATTCATGTTAGGAGATTTGTTTACTGCAGTTTGGTGGGTGTATAAAGAAATTAGCTCCATCCACTGAAAAGCCAACTGATCGGGCATGTGATTGACACTGTTAATAACACTTTTGTGCCACTAAATGTACACGTAAATGTGAGTTTTTACATATTACGTACTGGATAAGGAAGCACAAAACTTGTGTCCTCATTCACTGCTGCTACGGAAACGGTTGTGAAAACTTTAACTTCTGTCTGCTTCAAAACATTATGCGGTGTATAAAGTTCTCAAACATGGTTGATTTAAATTCTACAGACCTCCTTTTTACGTGCATTATCATTGACAGATGTGTACAACCAACAAAAGTGTCTTAACCCAATTGAGGCTGACAAGAAATGATGAAATCATGTTGGAGCAACTGGATAATTGTCTCAAAGCCTTGTTTTATGTTATAAATGTGTAACTACTCAGCCATGGCAGTGACTGTTCATTTCAATCATGATGCATCTTCTAGCATATACAAAATACAATATGGAAACGTTAAAGACCGGATAGGGTTTTAATAATTAAAGGACTTTGCAAATAACAGGGCAGAGTCATTTAATGGAACAGAGAATAATTCAGCTCTTCTACAGCTATTTAAAATGAGACAGATGTACTAGGGAAGCTAGAATTCTACTATTACTACCCACTGTGGTCCTCCCCAGGTCTGATCCAGGTGTCTGTCCTACCATCAGCCAAGAGGCTTCCTCCAGACGAGCCCAGACCTACCAGACCAGTCCATGTTAGAAGTCTCTTGGCATGAATCTGTATCTCAGCCTGCTTTAACTCACATTTCATCACACTTTTGTCATAAACTGAGCATTTCCTGACTTGGATTGTATTTTGTTAAACTTTTTCCCAAAGATGAAAGTAAGACCTGCAGTAAGTAAAAGTCCTGCCTGACTGACACATAGCAAACGCACCACATTTAGGTTTAAGCTCAGTAATCCATATGCTGTCACAATACATAGTTTGTCTTTATCAGTGTGTCCTCTGTCTTGTATCTTTGCTTTCCATAGCTTTCAAATCTAAAACCCACTCCACCTCTGCCTTGCAGTTCCCCTTGGCTCCATGAGGTTCAACTTCAACTTCAACTTCAAATTTATTATTTGTCCCCAAGGGGCGATTTGTTATGCAGCAGCTTACACAAGTGTTCACAATAAACAAACCATAAAAACAGGAAACAACACAGATTAAAGGAAATGTTGTTTTTGTTTGTATTTTTTTGTTTTTTTTTTTACAAGAAACTCAATAAAAGCAGTTAAAAATTACATAAAACATAAGATAGACAGGGACACTAGCAGCAATCTTGCTCATTAATCCAGTCAGGTGTATTCCAGTGCAAACAGTCAGCAGCAGCAGGCAGAATGAAGTCAAGTAAACAGGTTAAGGTGCAGCTCAGTACATGACCGAGTACAGCAGCAAGGACACAGTGCATTACCTCCTCCTCTTCTCAGTGTTTATAGCTCGGATGGAGGTAGGCACAAAAGAGAACTTGTACATGTTTTTTGTGGTCTGGGGTCCTGCCAAACGAAGGCCAGAGGGGAGCAACTTATACTCCTGATTGAGGATGAGTAGCATCCATAAGAATAAACTGAGCTTTTTTTTTTTTTGGTAAATTAAAAATGTCTTGAAGACTATTAAAATACACCCTCATCAAAAAAGGGGTTCTGTGGAGAGGCTGACTTCAGACAGTTTTTATTCTCAGCATGAGTAGCCCTAAAATCATCAGTCAAATCTGACATAAAAGCTGTTCAGACTTTGAACTAGCTCTAAATCAGAATTAGAACCATTAAGCTGAACTCTCCTCTATACATTTATTACTCCCAGTGATCAGCTCCATGCTGTCCCAGACTGAACCAAGGTTATTCATTTTGAGCTGAGACTCAGGTTTGTCTTTGTATTGCCTTCTACAGGTCCTGACCTCATGTGACACTTCCTTCTGTAGGTTATACAGATTCAGTCTATTTCCTTCCCTCAAAGCCTTTTCCTCTCTATACAGTAGGTCTTTAAGTTTCTTAGAAACCCATGGCTTATTGTTTGGATAAACTTTAACTAGTTTCACAATATGACACCCAGCTGCTATCAGTCAGTTCATCAATGCCAGCTGAGGACTTCCTGAACATGTCCCAGACCGTGGCCTCCTGGCACCCCTGCAGAGTGCAACAGGCGTCCTCATCCTGAACTTTCACTCTGAAGGTCTGCACTTTGCCTCGCTTCAGCACAGTGTGATAGACAGGGATAAGGTGAATGCAGTTGTGGTCAGAGGAACCCAGAGGTGGGAGGGGGATGGATTTATACCCACTGTTTCATGCCAGAGGGTTTGTGTGTGTGTTTGTGTGTGTGTGTGTGTGTGTATGTGTGTGTGTGTGCTCTGCCTCTCCTTCACCTTCCTTTCTGTCTCATTACCAGGTGCTAATGACCTGAGTGGATCCACCTGGAAAGCTGACTTCCACCTCTCAAGCTGGCCAATCAGATGTGGTGTGTTGCAGCATAATAACCAGGCCCAGTGTCAGATCAGGGGAGCTGCTGTCGTGATTGCATTGTGCTTTGTCTGAGAGACTCGTGTTTTGCTTACTAGAAACGTGGATGTACGTTTCTGTGGTGGTGAGGTTTGGACGCTAGGTAAGTTGGGTACCCTAAAAATTTCAGCACGTAGGAAAATTTTTGTTATACACACTAGGGTTGTTGATTGGTGCCACCTATGTATTTATTGCAAAGCTTGGTTTTGTAGAAAAGTTAGGTCTTTTGTTTGGATTTGTTTTATTATTTAAGAGTTAGTCAGGCCTTGTTTTGTTTTC